CTTCTGGGTATGGAGGGAACAAGTAACCATCTACCAGAATGCAGTACTCCAGCGGGAACATGACTGAGGGTGTGACTTTATGCTGCAACACTGGGCATTGTGCAATGGCACCCACATAGAAAGAAGCAGTAGGAAAGCACTGTGAAGATAACTATAATGTGCTCAAGGAATGGGCTTCAAACAGACCCCGTCCACTTTACCCTGAATGGACAAGTTGACAGGGTCTCTTTAGTAAGGCAAACTATGGATGCCTTTCTCCTTTTATTGCTATGGGACCTAGCTTGTGAAAACCCGTTAGGAAGATAATTGTACAAAAATTTATTTTATAATCTGTATAAAAAAAAAAAAAAAATGAATATATAAAGGCTGTATAAAAATGACATCATTTGCATAGCCTTTACACACAATGCAGTTATTAAAACAGTAAGAACTTTTCAGCAGTCTGTAAAAAAGACAAAAAACAAGAAAAGACAAACAGCAACAATGCCCAAAAAAAGACAGGTAAAGACAGTATTGTGCTATGAACTTTAACCATAGCCTGGCACAAGGCAGTAAAGGACACACAAAGCCAAAACTACAGGAAAGGTCCTCTCTTGCAGTGGGGTTGCATCCACACTGCAAGGGTTAAATGCTCCTTTCTGTCTACGGGATGACAGAAAGAACTTTCTACTTAACAAATCCTTCCCCAGCAGTCGCACCCCCCCACCCATGACCAGGCAATGGCCTCACCCTCTGCATCCTCAAGTCCAGTGCAGGGCATAGGGGAAGAAGGGGCTTGCATGGACCAGTGAAACTGCTGTACTTGGCCCCCCTAAACGTAGCAAGCTGTTAACTCTTGCACTGCACAGTCCCAAAGCAAGGGAGAACTTTTAGTTCAGCTTAAAGGAGTCAACCTGGGCAGAGAAGTCTAAAAGGATTTCTATTTTTTTTGGGAGGGTACGGTGGGTTAGGATGTTTCTGATAGTGATAATGAGTTCAATATGGATGCCTGCCATGGCATCAAGCAAGGCAACTAATGGATTTGAGTGTTTTCCGATTGCAGTTGCCAGATACCATTTTCTTGATGGCAACAGAGAAGATCTGTTGGCTGTGCCTAAGTGGATCTTCAAGGTCAGTGTTAGCTTGTCAGGGTGGCACAGCATTGTATTGGGTCAGTCTATAGGCGGCGAAGGATGGAAGGCAAAGATACCCAACTGGCAAAAGGCAGAACTTCTTAGAACACCACTGGTACCCTTGTAGCACTTGCTGGAAGTTGTAAGGAAACATCTGGTGCTTGGTGGGGCAGCGGAGGTTGGATCCTGGTGATGCCAGGCTGTCAGAACTGTGGTGTAGAGATATGGTAGGAATTAATCTGCTCAGATCTGGAATAAGTGGTGAAGCAGCAGACTGGCACAACCATAGCACCGTGTCTGTAGACCAACTGTACAAAGGCAAGTGAAGATGGTATGTCCAGCCACCAGAGGAAACGTCATACCTTGCAAAGATAGAAATAAGTTGGCACAGAGAGATTGGTCCATAAAGCTGAAAGCGGCACAGAGGAGAATGCAATGAGTGGGCACAAACAGGAGAGTGATGGAAGAAGTTGGAGGTGGCAGGATGGCACAGTGTTGTATTGTGTCAATCGGGGCAGCAAAGCATGGAAGTCAGAAGTACACAGCTGGCACACAAGGAACTTTTCTGAACAAAATTAAGTCTGGATATTGGTAGCACTTGCCGGAAGTCTCTGGATATTGGTAGCACTTGCCGGAAGTCTCTGGATATTGGCAGCGCTTGCCGGAAGTCTCTGGATATTGGTAGCGCTTGCCGAAGTCTCTGGATATTGGTAGCGCTTGCCGAAGTCTCTGGATATTGGCAGCGCTTGCCGAAGTCTCTGGATATTGGCAGCGCTTGCCGGAAGTCTCTGGATATTGGTAGCGCTTGCCGGAAGTCTGTGGATATTGATAGCGCTTGCCGGAAGTCTGTGGATATCGGCAGCGCTTGCCGGAAGTCTGTGGATATTGGCAGCGCTTGCCGGAAGTCTGTGGATATTGGCAGCGCTTGCCGGAAGTCTGTGGATATTGGCAGCGCTTGCCGGAAGTCTCTGGATATTGGTAGCACTTGCCGGAAGTCTCTGGATATTGATAGCGCTTGCCGGAAGTCTGTGGATATTGGTAGCACTTGCCAGACATCTGTGGATATTGGTAGCGCTTGCCGGATGTCTCTGGATATTGGTAGCTCTTGCTGGAAGCCTCTGGATATTTGTAGCTCTTGCTGGAAGCCTCTGGATATTGGTAGCACTTCCAGAAGGTGTCAGGAGACATCTGAAGCTTGGTAGGGCAGTGGAGGTTGAATTATGGTGATGCCAGGCTGTCATAACTGTTGACTGGAGTTATTGTAGGAATTAATCTACTCAGATTTGGAATAACTGGGGAAACAGCGGACTGGCAGTCATTGCACCAAGGTGAAGATGGCATGTTCAAGTACCAGAGGAAGTGCCATAGCTTATAAAGCTTGGGGTGGTACAGAGGAGATGGCTATGAGTTAATACAGAGGAGATCAGCTGAAGATAAAACAGACAGGACATCTATGGATGCAGCTGGAGATGGCAATGAGTTGACATATAAATGAGGTCAGTTGAAGTTGGCACGGAGAGATCTATGAATGAAGTTGGCGATGGCAACAAGCTGGCTCAGACAGGAGATTGATGGATGAAGCTGGAGATGGCACAGAGGTAATAGCAATGAGCTGGCAAAATGCTGAAATTAGTGGGTGAAGTTGGCACAGGTGATGGCAATGAGTTGGCACACAGCAGAGATTAATTGAAGTTGGTACAGACAGAAGTTCTATGGATGAAGTTGGAGATGGCAATGAGTTGGTATGAGAAGATTTATGAATGAAGTTGGAGACGACACAAAGGTAATAATAGCACTGAGCTGGCACAATGTTGAAATTGGTGGGTGAAGTTGGCACAGAGATGATGGCAATGAGTTGACATACAGATTAGTTGATGTTGGCACGGACAGTTCTATGGATGAATATGAAGATGGCTATGAGTTGCTATGAGAAGACTGGTGAATGAACTTGGAGATGGCGATGAGTTGCTATGAGAAGACTGGTGGGTGAAGTTGGAGATGGCGATGAGTTGCTATGAGAAGACTGGTGGATGAAGTTGGAAATGGCGATGAGTTGCTATGAGAAGACTGGTGGATGAAGTTGGAGATGACACAGAGGTGATGGCAATGAGCTGGTAGTGTGGAAATCTGTTAGGAAGTTGGCACAGAGGTGATGGCAATGAGTGGGCACAGAGAGATGAATGAAGCTGGAGATGATACATTAGTGATGGCAATGAGCCGGCACAGGCTGGATATCAAAGGATGAAGCTGGAGCAAAGGAGATGGAAATAAGCTGGTACATGGAGATTAGTGGAAGAGGATGGCACAGAGTGAAGGAGAATGGCAGAGTGGAGATCAGTGGAAGAGGATGGTACAGAGAGGAGATCAGTGGAGGAAGGTGTGACAGAGTGGAGATCAGTGGAGGAAGGTGTGACAGAGTGGAGATCAGTGGAGAAGGATGGCACAGAGTGGAGATCAGTGGAGGAGGATGGCACAGAGTAGAGATCAGTGGAGGAAGGTGGCACAGAGTGGAGATCAGTGGAGGAGGATGGCACAGAGTGGAGGAAGATGGCATAGAGTGGAGGAAGGTGGCACAGAGTGGAGATCAGTGGAGGAAGATGGCACAGAGTGGAGATTAATGGAGGAGGATGGCACAGAGTAGAGATCAGTGGAGAAAGGTGGCACAGAGTGGAGATTAATGGAGGAGGATGGCACAGAGTGGAGGAGGATGGCACAGAGTGGAGATCAGTGGAGGAAGATGGCACAGAGTGGAGATCAGTGGAGGAAGATGGCACAGAGTGGAGATCAGTGGTGGAGGATGGAGATCAGTGGAGGAAGAGTGGAGATCAGTGGAGGAAGGTGTGACAGAGTGGAGATCAGTGGAGGAAGGTGTGACAGAGTGGAGATCAGTGGAGGAAGGTGGCACAGAGTAGAGATCAGTGGAGGAAGATGGCACAGAGTGGAGATCAGTGGAAGTGAAGGTGGCACGGAGTTGAGATCAGTGGAAGGAAGGTGGCACGGAGTTGAGATCAGTGGAGGAAGATGGCACAGAGTGGAGATCAGTGGAGGCAGGATGGTGGAGAGGATGGCACAGAGTGGAGATCAGTGGAGGAAGGTGTGACAGAGATCAGAGAGTGGAGATCAGTGGAGGAAGGTGGCACAGAGTGGAGATCAGTGGAGGAAGGTGTGACAGAGTGGAGATCAGTGGAGGAAGGTGGCACAGAATGGAGATCAGTGGAGGAAGGTGTGACAGAGTGGAGATCAGTGGAGGAAGGTGGCACAGAGTGGAGATCAGTGGAGGAAGGTGGCACAGAGTGGAGATCAGTGGAGGAGGATGGCACAGAGTAGAGATCAGTGGAGGAAGGTGGCACAGAGTGGAGATCAGTGGAGGAGGATGGCACAGAGTGGAGGAAGATGGCATAGAGTGGAGATCAGTGGAGGAAGGTGGCACAGAGTGGAGATCAGTGGAGGAAGGTGGCACAGAGTGGAGATCAGTGGAAGGAAGGAAGGTGGCACAGAGTGGAGATCAGTGGAAGGAAGGTGGCACAGAGTTGAGATCAGTGGCAGGAAGGTGGCACAGAGTGATCAGTGAAGGATGGCACTGTGTTCATTCAGCCAGCAGGGCTCTGAAGCTGCAGACTGGCATTTGAGGGCAGACCTCCACCATGGCTGGCACCATCCCCCGGTAGTGCACCTCCTGTTCCCAGCAGGGTATTGCCGGCAGCTCCCCATGGAACCCCCCGGGGATCGGATAGGGGCTATTGGCGGGCCCCGGGAGCAGAAACGGGGCTCCGGGCCCCCAGGGGTTCCCGATGAGCGGGTAGTGCCCGGGTTGCAGGCAGCACTGCGTCGGTTCCTGGTATCTGAAGGCCGGCATGGAGTCTTCGTTCAGCGCTTGCTCTGGCCGTCTCAGCCGCCGCCTCCTCCGGTAGTTGCCCCGCTCGAACATACCATGGAAGGCGGGGTCCAGCGCCCACAGGCTGCCCTTGTGCCCGGGCTGGCGGGGCAGGCGGACGAAGCACTGGTTGAGGCTGAGGTTGTGGCGGATGCTGTTCTGCCATCCTTTCCTCTCCAGCCGGGAATAATAGGGGAACCGGCGCCCGATGGCTTCATAGATCCCGCTGAGCGTCAGCCGCTTCTCTCCGGGCTTTCCTCCAGCACCATGGTGATCAGCGCCACATAGGAGTACGGCGGCTTCACCGGGGACACAGCGACCTCCTGCCGGCTCTCCTCCGCGGACACAGCGACCTCCAGCCGGCTCTCCTCCGCGGACACAGCGACCTCCAGCCGGCTCTCCTCCGCCTGCTCCGACATCGTCCTGTACGGGGATAACGGCTTCCAATCCACATGGTCCCCAGGACCGCCCCCTGCTACTCGTCACCGCCCGCCAACTCGCACCAGCCACGCCCATTCCCGCCCCCACCCGTATCGCTCTACCACTGGACACGCCCAGCCACCGCCCACTCCCTTTACTGTACCGTTAATACACGCCCAAAGGCTCTCTAAACTCCGCCCCCGGGCTGTCAGTTACACTGTAAATGTAAACAAAAAGCATGCCGTGGATCTACGGCTCCGCCCACTGGGTGTCAGGCAGAGGTCAGCCGTGCTGCTAAGCTGCTGGCCTGCCTCTGACCCCGCAACAATGTAACCAAGCAGCGTGCCTACAGGATGGAGGAAACCGAGTACCGGGGAACTAAACTCCAGTCTTCCTCAATTTAGATGTCTTCTTTCACAGGGGCAGTTAGATTTTCGCTTTTAGGGCTCATTCACACTTGCCTTTATTTCTAAATCTTACCAAACACCCCTATTGCTTTAGCCAGGCAGTGGGGACACGTTTTTAATGCCCCTCAAGCACCCTATGCACTGTTGATAGGAGTTTGCCAACAGGGGCAGACTGACAACACGTGGGGCCCCAGGGCAATAGGGGATCATGGGGCCCCTGTGTCCTTGCCCAAACTCAAAAAAGCCTATGAAAAGGTACCAGGAGCATCTCATGGAGCCCCCTACTGACCTTGGGCAGTGGCCGAGTTTCCAAATGGTCAGTCGACCTCTGGGCCCCTGTGTCCTTGCCCAAACCCAAAAAAGCCTATGGGGAAAAAAAAAAAAAAAAAAAAAAAAATTGGTACCAGGGGCATCTCATGGGGGCCCCCTACTGACCCTGGGCCCTCAGGCAGTGCCCAAGTTTCCAAATGGTCAGGCCGCCCATTTGCCGAGCGTTAAACCTGCACCACAAACACCTATAATGAATATAAACGGTATTAACACGCCACACACACCTGCCAAGGGTTTGTAGAGCAGCACCATAGACTTGAATGGGAGGCTGCAACTGCTCCTGATTGGACACAAGGCGTCAGTTTTACAGCAAGGCTAACACTTCAGCGTGAACAGCACTGTGTGCTGCCATCTGCAGAATTTTCATAGGAGTTTGGGAAGCATTTTTAACGCTTTTCAAAGGACTGTCTGACGCCTGCTAACAAAGCTAGTGTGAACTGAGCCTTACTGGCCTGGGTTCACATGGAGGCAGGCAGTGTGGAAGTTGCAGTATTTTCAGTGCGAATTCTGCACCGCATCAAATTCGTCCATGCAAACCACTGCGGGACAACGCGCAAGCAGTCCACAAAACAAAGTGCGATGTGCAGTATCAGATCGCATGGGTGTGAATACCCATACGATCTGATTCTAGTGCCAAAGGGTCCTGCAAGTTTTTGGTGCAGGTGCAGTTTGATTATGGCTCAGATCGCATCGCACACAAATGGCATGTGATTCGCACAGGAGTGCAGTGCCTGTGCGAAGCACATGTGATATACCACAACCAGTGGCAACCCGAGGGGGGGTGCGTGCCGCAGCAGGAGACACCTACCGCATGGCCTAACACCGCACCAGGAGACACCTACTGCACGGCCTAACACCGCACCAGGAGACACCTACCGCACGGCCTAACACCGCACCAGGAGACACCTACCGCACGGTCTAACACCGCACCAGGAGACACCTACCGCACCAGGAGACACCTACCGCACGGCCTAACACCGCACCAGGAGACACCTACCGCACAGCCTAACACCGCACCAGGAGACACCTACCGCACAGGGTAACACCGCACCAGGAGACACCTACCGCACAGGGTAACACCGCACCAGGAGACACCTACCGCACAGGGTAACACCGCACCAGGAGACACCTACCGCACAGGGTAACACCGCACCAGGAGACACCTACCGCACAGGGTAACACTGCACCAGCTCCACGAAAAGGTAAGTTGTAAAGCAAGCCAACGATCCCCACAGAATAGTTTGAATCTGCAAATTGAGCATAATAGATCAGAGTTCAATCCATTATGCTCAATTCGCAGATCCAATCCATTGTGCGGGGATCGTCAGAGGAGATGTCACCAAGTGTTAGCACACCGGGTAACATCAACCCTAGGGACGCCTCTGACCACACAGCACCTATGTGAAGCCAGGCGCAGCTGCGGGTAGAGGAACTTACCCCAGCTAAATGCTGACAATGCATCCCTATGACTCCATTCACACACTGCGTTTAGCAACATTTTCATATCATACAGTTTTATGCGTTAGGTCTCGGTTCACACCGATGCAGTGAGGAATTCACAGCATTTTCTGAGCAAATACCGCATCAGAAGCACCCCTTTCATGCAAACCACTGCGGATGTGTATGTTAACAACACCCCAAAAACAGTCCACAAAAGCGGTGCACACACTGTAGCTGCTGACTTTTATTAGGGCACATACCTATTCAATTTATCTTCTCCTTACCAAGTCTTAGATGTGATGGCTGGTAACATGGTCCATGCATTCCTATGGACAACTCGGTGCAGGGGCGGACTGACCATTTGGAAACTCAGGCACTGCCCGAGGGCCCGGGATCAGTAGGGGGCCCCATGAGATGCCCCTGGTACCTTATTCATAAGCTTTTTTGAGTTTGGGCAAGGACACAGGGGTCCCATAATCCCCTATTGCCCAGGGGCCCCATGAGTTGTCAGTCCCTGACTGGGTGTAAACAGACTTTTGTCCATTTACTCCCACCTACCTCCGGGTATGATCAGGTCTGCTAAAAAAAAAAAAAAAAATATATATAGAATTAAAAAAAATAAAATAGAAGATTGTGTCCTCTTCCATTTGGGCAGAGCAGATCAGAGACAACTGGGTGTAAGCAGATAGATAGTAGAGCTGTTTACTGCGGGCTGCCCACAGAGCAGAGCGGGGTCTGTCACAGACCTGTCACCTGTCCTGCTCCAAGCAGTAGGGGATCTGTAAGCGGAGCCCCTGCCGATCAGAATGCAAACTGCTCTTAGTTTTCCTTTAAGGTTTCTTTTATTTTCACCTGGTGATGCATCCAGTAACTGTTATTTTTCAACAGAGCAAGCTATCCTGCAGCTGTAGAAGTTAGACGGTTGAGACAAACCATTTAATACTGGCAGGAGTTTACAATGACCAGCTTTAATTTATTCACATAAAACCTTATAAAAAAATGTTTACTGTAACTACAGTGTTAGCTGGCGTTTGGCTTCAAATTGTTAGATGTACTAGCAGATTTAGATACACCAACACTCCCTTCCCCCCAGACTGACAATGCCATTGTCCAAACGTGCCCCTGTGCACCAATCATGCAGAGTGGGGGCACTCTAATACTGGAGGTGTGTTACTTGCCAGAGTACTGGGTGAAAACAGATCTGCAATATATTACATTTTTGGTTTTATTACTGCTTCATTTAGGACCAAATATTTTGGTGCTCTGAAGCAGTTTGTGTTTAAGTCCTTACATCTCTACACATGTACCACCCTAAACAAGTCCCCGCTAATGAGCAGTCGCTGGTGGAACTGGCTCCAAATCAAGTGACCACTCTGAGTCCATCACAGTTGTCATGTGATTAGCTGATCTTTCCCACCACCTGGTGTTCAGAACTTTTCAGAAGGGGCACTGGGGCAGGTGAAGGGGTTAAACTACATGTCCATAGGAAAACAAGACAGCATTGATTTTACTGCAGAACAGTCATCACCTTGTTCAAGGACATAGGAAAGCAGTAGATCTACTGGCAAGATTAAAAACTAGTGCCTAAACTATAGGGGAACTCAGAAAACCAAGGGGAGGGAGAATGAATTTATAAAACTGGAGATGGCAATCTGGAGACAACTGTGTATGACAACCAATCAGCTAATAACGTAAAGTGTTACTAAACCCTGGACCCCGCATTCACTAGATCCAGTCTCCCCAAACCCCGCATTCACTATATCTGCTCTTCCCAGACCCCGCATTCACTAGATCCGGTCTCCCCGGACCCCGCATTCACTAGATCCGGTCTCCCCGGACCCCGCCTTCACTAGATCCGCTCTCCCCGGACCCCGCCTTCACTAGATCCGCTCTCCCCGGACCCCTCATTCACTAAATCCACTCTCCCCGGACCCTTCATTCACTAAATTAGGTCTCCCACAGTACACAGAAATGCAATTATTTTAGTAAATAAAAACTGCAAAATACCTTTTCTCATCAGCAGCATATAGCAGTCTTGTGACTTCTATCAGTATCCAGCAGAGCACTGGTTAAAGCTTGTAGGAATTTTCATTCCCCTCCCACTGCCCTATGAGATTGCATAACCCCTGACCCTCTGTCTGGACAGTACTGATCACATGCATCCTCCCAAAAAAGAAAATCTCTTTAGCAGTACACACCAAACTGAGCACATGCAGAGTGTCCCCGAGGCTCTATTCTATTAGGAGATCAAATGGTGACACTGGAAGAAGGGGAGGATCAGAGAAGACAGGATCAAACATCCTTTTTACACAATGCAGTGGATTAACCCCCTAGGTTCCGCAGTAAGTATAAAAGCATGCTTTACTACATTTACAAACCAATGTTACGTTGTGCGTTTAGTAACACTTTAATAACAGCTTGTTCAGTTTAGTTTCACTTCAACCCATTGATTAAATGGTTTCCCAAAATAGTTACATTCAAGCAATGCCTTCACAACTTTCACAGTTGCTCGGGCTACTCAATTGAATGGTCAAGCCATACAATGGCTGACGTCATAACTGATCCCATAGACAGCACTGGGGCAACAAAGAGAGGCTAAGATGGCAGCATCAATGACTATA